AAACAAAACAAAAAAAATCCCCCAAAAACAAAACAAAAAAAACCCCAAAATTGCCCCCAAAAACCAAAAATACCCTCCCAAAAAAATAAAAAAATACCTCCCAAATTCCCCCAAAAAACAAAAAAAAATCCCCCCCAAAATTCCCCCAAAAAAAACCCAAAACCACCCCAAAATTCCCCCCAAATTTGGCCAAAATCCACCCAAAAAACCCCAAAAAATCCTCAAGAAAAACCCCAAAAATACCCTAAAAAAAACCCAAAATTGCCCAAAAAATCCCCCAAAAATCCCCCCCAAAATTCCCCCCAAATTTGGCCAAAATCCACCCAAAAAACCCCAAAAAATCCTCAAGAAAAACCCCAAAAATACCCTAAAAAAACCCCAAAATTGCCCAAAAAATCCCCCCAAAAAAACCCAAAAAATCCCCAAGAAAAACCCCAAAAATACCCTAAAAAAACCCCAAAATTGCCCAAAAAATCCCCCAAAAATCCCCCCCAAAAAGTGCCAAAATCCCCCAAAAATTCAGGTGAAGGGGAAGGAAATGAGGGGGATTTTTGGGGCGTTTTGGCCAAATTTTGGGGGTCAAAATTTCCTAAAATTTGGATTTTGGGAGTTTTGGGATTTGGGGGGAAAATTCCCTAAAATTCCTTAAAATTCCCCCAAAATTTGGGGGAAATTCCTTCAAATTTGGGTTTTTGGGAATTTTGGAAATTTGGGGAGAAAATTGCCCCAAATTCCTGAAAATTTGGGGGGAAATTCCCCAAAATCCCCCAAAATTCATTTTGGGAAGTCTTGAAAATTCCTCAAAATTCCCCAAAATTCTCTTAAATTTGGGGGTTGGGGAGTTTTAAAAATTCCCTGAAATTCCCCAAAATCCCCCAAAATTCATTTTGGGAAGTCTTGAAAATTCCTCAAAATTCCCCAAAATTCCCTAAAATTTGGATTTTTGGGGTTTTTTTTTGATTTAGGGGAAAATTCCCCAAAAATTCCCCAAAATTCTCTTAAATTTGGGGGTTGGGGAGTTTTAAAAATTCCCTGAAATTCCCTAAAATTCGGATGGGGAGAGTCCTGGAAATTTGGGGGGAAATGCCCAAAAATTCCTGAAAATTTCTGAAAATTCGGGGTAAAATCCCAGGAATTTGGTGAAAAAAAATCCCAGAAATTTGGGGTAAAACTCAGGAATTTGGAGTAAAAATTCCCAGAAATTTGGGGTAAAACTCTGGAATTTTGGGGTAAAAAATCCCAGAAATTTGAGGTAAAACTCTGGAATTTGGGGTAAAAAAACCCCAGAAATTTGGGATAAAAATCCCTGAAATTTAGGGTAAGATCCCAGGAATTCAGAGTAAAAAAAGTCCCAGGAATTTGGGGTGGAAAATCCCAGAAATTTGGGGTAAAATCCCAGAAATTTGGAGTAAAATCCCGGAAATTTGGGGTAAAAAATCCTAGAAATTTGGGGTAAAAATTCCCAGGAATTTGGGGTAAACCCCCGGAATTTTGGGGTAGAAAAATCCCGGAATTTTGGAGTAAAACTCTGGAATTTTGGGGTAAAATCCCAGAAATTTGGGGTAAAACTCAGGAATTTGGAGTAAAAAAATCCCAGAAATTTGGGGTAAAAAATCCCAGAAATTTGAGGTAAAACCCTGGAATTTGGGGTAAAAAAACCCCAGAAATTTGGGATAAAAATCCCTGAAATTTAGGATAAAATCCCAGAAATTTGGAGTAGAAAAATTCTAGAAATTGGGGGTAAAAACCCTGGAATTTGGAGTTAAAAAGTTCCCAGAAATTTGGGGTAAACCCCTGGAATTTTGGGGTAAAATCCCAGAAATTTGGGGTAAAACTGTGGAATTTTGGGGTAAAAAAATCCCAGAATTTCGGGGTAAAATTCTAGAATTTTGGGGTAAAAAATCCCAGGATAAAATCCCAGAAATTTGGAGTAGAAAAATTCTAGAAATTGGGGGTAAAAACCCTGGAATTTGGAGTTAAAAAGTTCCCAGAAATTTGGGGTAAACCCCTGGAATTTTGGGGTAAAATCCCAGAAATTTAGAATAAAAAAAATCCTAAAATTTTGGGGGTAAAAATCTGAGAAATTTGGAGTAAAAATCCCAGGAATTTGAGGTAAACCCCTGGAATTTGGGGTAAAACTCTGGAATTTGGGGTAAAAAAGCTCCAGAAATTTGGGATAAAAATCTCGGAAATTTAGGATAAAATCCCAGAAACTTGAGGTAAAAACCCTGGAATTTGGAGTAAAAAGTTCCCAGAAATTTGGGGTAAAAATCCCAGAAATGTAGGGTAAAATCCCAGAAATTTGGAGTAAAAAAAGTCCCAGAAATTTGGGGTAAAACTCTGGAATTTTGGGGTAAAAAAATCGCAGAAATTTTGAGTAAAAAAATCGCAGAAATTTGGGGTAAAAACCCTGGAATTTGGAGTAAAAATTCCCAGAAATTTGGGGTAAAACTCTGGAATTTTGGGGTAAAAAAATCGCAGAAATTTTGAGTAAAAAAATCGCAGAAATTTGGGGTAAAAACCCTGGAATTTGGAGTAAAAATTCCCAGAAATTTGGGGTAAAACTCTGGAATTTTGGAGTAAAATCCCAGAAATTTGGAGTTAAAGAATCCCAGAAATTTGGAGGAAAAATTCCAGAAATTTGAGGTAAAAAACCCCAGAAATTTGGGATAAAATCACAGAAATTTGGGGTAAACCCCCGGAATTTTGGGGTAGAAAAATCCCAGAAATTTGGAGTAAAACTCTGGAATTTTGGGGTAAAATCCCAGAAATTTGGGGTAGAAAAATCCCAGAAATTCGGAGTAAAACTGTGGAATTTTGGGGTGAAATCTCAGAAATTTGGAGTAAAAAAATCCCAGAAATTTGGAGTAAAACTCTGGAATTTTGGGGTAAAACCCTGGGATTTTGGGGTAAAATCCCAGATTTTCCCAGAAATTTGGGGTAAAACTCTGGAATTTTGGGGTAAAAAAATCGCAGAAATTTTGAGTAAAAAAATCGCAGAAATTTGGGGTAAAAACCCTGGAATTTGGAGTAAAAATTCCCAGAAATTTGGGGTAAAACTCTGGAATTTTGGGGTAAAATCCCAGAAATTTGGGGGTAAAAAATTCGATAAATTTGGGGTAAAACTCAGGAATTTGGAATAAAAAAATCCCAGAATTTTGGGGTGAAATCCCAGAAATTTGAGGTAAAACCCTGGAATTTGGGGTAGAAAACCCCCAGAAATTTG